CAGCCACACAACAAACCTCACACCCCAGAGCCTGCTCCACCAAGCTCTTACCTTTAATAAAACAAAGCTTTGCTCTATCCTGGGCATCTCATAACACTTTACCAATGTTAATTAACCAGCTTGAGGCCTGGGAAGACAGCAGTCAATAGAAAGCGCATCTAATGGCCATGATCAGATCCTCCAATGTGACAGGATCTCTTCTAATAGACCTTCCAAAATGTTGCTCAAGATCAGACACTGAGTGAATGGCAAAGCTGAGTCTTCTGATACATGGGTGGGCTGCACTAGTCCTTGCACCCTAGACTCTCTACCCTGTGCAATGAGTTTCCTCGGGCCTCTGGAGGGTCAAGTCTGGCTTTGGCAGCAGCTCTGCTATGTTCATCCCAGGACCTGCCCAGCTAAGTGAAAGCTGTTTGGGTCTCAAAGTGTCACCACAATGCTCTGGCTTCCCTCACCCAGACCAGTCCTGCCCACTATGCCCACATCCTAAGCATTGACAGTGCCTTCACGGGATGGGGATCACAGCTACCATCCAACCTGATACCCCTGGGACCTTGATGGTGCCTGCGTGTGAGCATGTGTGTGTCTCTCCCCACACCCTTTGCAGGGTCACCCCTTCGGTGGCTCCAGCAAAATCACTCTCCATTTCCTCTCAAACAAGAGGAGAAAGAAAGTCCCAGCTTAGCGGTCTGGTTGGGAGAGCCGGGGTGTGCTGTGGGGATGGAGGGGACATGGAGGAAAACTTGTAGCAGGGGGAACAATGAGGAAAATAAGGCAAAAACTGTGATGATGGATGAGAAACACACTGTCTTTGGCAGGCAAATAGGGGTCTTACGAGTTTATATGCCAACGACTTCTTCTGCAAATGTGGGAAATAGGTAAGAGGGAAATGTATTTGTATTACAGTGGTTTTAGGGCTCCTTCAGAGATGGATGGGGCTCTGTTTTATGGAGGGGGAAATGCTACCGAGTCCTTGGTAAGAGTCAGTCAAGACATTAGGCTCTGTCTGATTGGGCAGATAAGATGAGGGTCCTCCAAGCGTGAGAGAGAAAATGGAATTCGAAGCCATCTTTCACCTCTCTGAATTAAGCCTATGACCTGAAGCACACTAGAAGGACTTTCTCCCCAGCAGAGAAGGATTTTTCTCACAGAGGAAAAATCCCCAGAATGATAAATTTCCAATGCAGAGTCAAGCCCTATCTTTGGCCAGGAGTTAAAACCAGCCAGTCACTGCTGACAAGAGTTAAAACATTGACAGTCTCTCTGAGCACTTCAGAACTGGCTGCCCTCCTTCATTTTCACTGACATTATCGGATGTTCCTTATCTGAGCACTTATTTTTCCCTTCCTGTTGTCCCTGCTGCTTATGATGAGCGGGAAGTCAAATTCCAAGTTTTGCAGTTATTTTATGGTGGGCGAAACTTTTGCCTGTTGTGTTCCCACCACGTAGGTCCTTCTCTTTAAAAATGCCCAGAGATGAATATTGTTAGAGCATTAGTTTACGCTAGGGAGCTGTCAGCAAAGGTGTAGGAAAGAGTTCTTTGGAAGAGTTTCGTTACCCATTCAGCTCATGAATCACAGCAAACACGCTAGCTTTTCTCCTCTTCTCACACAGCAACAGAGGATGTGCTTTTTTAAAATCACTGCTACAATTAAAGTGGAGGGATATAATTCTGTTTGTATAGTTTCAATAGTGACCATATAATGTTTATGTAAAATTGGATTAAAAGTATCTGTTGCTCTGACTTGGCATGGGGATGTCTTATGCTTCAACAAGTTCCTGGGAATTTTTTTTGGTAGATTTGAGGGTCCTTTGGTGATGTTGACTGTATGAGACTGGGCACTGGACAGGCATGGGGCAGCAGGTCATAAGTTATCTTATAGAAGGTGTTGATGAGTATAAGTAAGGAAAAAAAAGATTGAACCAAGAAACTTCATGTCCCTAGATGAATGTTGAATCCTTTGCTACATATCCCTGCTGCTCGGGGCCCATTCACTTTGCTGCCCAACTGGTTTCAGTCTGCTTTAAAAACCTGACAATGATTTAACCATGCATAAAAATCCCCATCCCTAGATTTTGCTGTGCTCTGAAGAGCCCTGTAGGACTCTCAGTGAAAGTAAAAAGAAGGCCATGACCCAGCAAACAGCTTTGTGCATGCATCACTTTCCATGCTCAAATCAGTCAAGTGGAGTCAATAAGAAGACGTGAGGTCAGGGAACACCCCCCTTCCTCTCACCACTCAGATTGTTGAGGGCTGATGAGTTAATTTGCTCTTGGACATTTTCACCTAACGAGTGCCTCAGCATCGCAGGGACCGCAGACATCCGTCGGCTGCAGGGACCTGCTGCTCCTTACTCGCTTGGGTGAGCTCCAGCTGTGGATGCCACCCCAGAGTCAGGTGCACATTTGGGAAGAGCTGCAACAGGGCTGCTGTTTTGGCACAGCTGCCAGAGACACATAAGGAGTACATTACCTGCTCTCAGATGGGTAGGTTGATAACAAAAATTTACTGTTGGTAAAGCTTCCCCATGGCCGTGAGGCATAAGCAGAGTCGAATACTGATTGTGGTGGCAGCTGTGATGGATGGCTTAATTGCTACCGCACTGACCTTTTAACTGCTGAGCCGTGGGTTCGTGCCCTTAAGGGGGTTAAAAGGTGTCGGGCAGCTCTGCTCACGTTATTAAGTGGATTACATGATGCAAAGCAGAACACGGGTCTGAGTCCTGAGGTTGCCCTCAGGGCATGGGGTTAAAGGTTGTGGCTGGGATCAACCGGTAGGTCGGGTTATTGACCTTTTTGCCTGCAGAGCTTGACCCTGTAACTGATGTGGAAGCACCTTCTCATACCTAACGATACCCAAGCAGCCCCTGCTCGGCAGGGTGTCTGCGTGGCACGGGTCATCCGCCTGCTATGGAGAATCAGCTCACCTGTGATGGCTCATTGGGAGAGGCCTTCCTACCACATCCCTCAGTCCCAGCCCTTTACAGTATGGACATGAAAAAGCCAAAGGATGAAAATCAGAAGTGCTTCTTCCTAGGATATGTAAAGGTTTAGCACAGGAATCATAAGCAGCTCCTTGGAAAAACAATTGCTGTACCTGAACCATGCAATGCTTTGTGAAGAGACCACAAGAGAGCACAAAGCACTGCCTTGTCTGTAGCACTTGATCCCACAGCCAGTTCCCCCCAGTTTGAACCAGTAAGTGTAAAAGCATCGTCCCACCCACCTACCTGCTGTGATGGATGCCAGCCGGACGTAATCAAAGCCCCTGATGAACGGCTCGTAAGGGGAACTCTCCAGTACGTTCATGCCTGGGGTGAAAAAAGAAGTTGAGAAGGCAACTGAGGGCAGGTTTGCTTGGTGGGTCCATGGGGACATGTGCTCTAAAGGCCGTAGGTAAATGGATACTCAGAGTCACAGGAACGGACACGTGGCCATGTCCTTAGAGAAGGGAATAGGACGTAACCGGCTTTTAAAAACATACCACAGCTTTGGAGTAGGATAACCTCTCAGGGAACTGTTGAGTTGCAACCCTCTATAGCTCAAGTCTTGGACCCTTTTTCAGGGATTGCCTCTGAGGACACCAGACTGTAGCACAGGTTCTTGCTCATGGGCAGAGTTCAAACCACCAGCTCCCTAGACACACACGGGGTTTCCATCACCCTTCTTGCTCTTTCCCATATGTCCCTCCCTGGGTCAGTGGTCCTCACCTCTTTCTAGGACACAGCCAGGGCTGTGCACAGAGTTGTGCGTGTGGCAACATACACCTTCATGTTTATTAACACCTCTCCCTTTTTCCTTGCCAACAGCCCTTTCTTACTTGGCATAGAGCTAATGACCCACAGCTCCCCCAGAAACTTCCCTTTTTCATTTTTAAGTTGCTGGGAAGCTAATTTTATTCAATCGGTGCTTCCCTTTCATCCGCTCAATGGTCTGTAATGCCCCATCATCCTGATGGATACCACAGAATATTATTGAAGCAAACAGCTCGGTATTTTTTTTTTTTTTTTATTATTAGACATTTAGATGGATATGGACAGCAACAGCAGATGTACTGGCTGGGATAAAAGGACTATCAAACCTCATGCTCCGGGCATATGCTGATCACCAGCTGCGGTCAGGAAGAAATGGCTCCCAGGGTAACGCAGCCCTGTGCAATTACCACAGGTGCATTACAAGGCAGCTTTACACCTTCATTGAAATATCTTGCATCGTTACAGACTGGAGAGGGGCCCATTTGTATGTTCCAGCATAGCAGTTTTATGTCCTGATGATATAGCACCTTATCAGAGAATTGTTATCGGGTTGTCATCATGTTATTGTGTCTCCAAATGGGAAGGTGGCTAAACACAGGCGCGCTCAAGAGAAGCTGAGTAAATAGTATGCTTTGTAAATTCCCTGAGCACACACTTCCACAATTGATTTTATAAGAGGGCTTCTAGGAAGCTTTTTACAGCCTCCTGGGTATGTATGACTGAGAGATAAAGCTCTACACGGAGCATGTGGATTGGCTTCCTTTCTCAGTCAATTAAACATGTGTAAGGACTCTGAAACGTGTGACTATTATGAAGTATATTTCCCTGGGGAAATTAAGGCAAGGAAATCAAAGGTTTGCGAGTGTGAATCTGCATTGCAAGTGAACTCAGTGCTTTAAAAAATGTGGGGCTCAGGACATGACAGCAGAGGAGAAGTAGGGCAGAGCCTTGGCAGTCTCCGAGAGCAGCCCTCTGACAGCCGTCCCCAAGGTGGTGGTCCCAAGCCGCTGGGTAGGAAGCCCATGGACCTGCCCATCCATCACCCATCTCCTCCTCTGCATCTGGAGACCCATGCCTGGCCCCTGCCTGCTCCCAGCGCTCCCTGCCACCCTCTCGCTGCCCTTCCAGCCATGGTCCCGAAGCTGGAAGTCCTCCTGACACCACTGTCCTGCACAGCCACCTGGCAGATGAACTATGTCCAAAGCTTCAGGCCACCAAGATCGGGGGGAAGGAGTTGCAACGCAGCCTGCGAAGATGAATGGAGAGGCTGGATTACCACCTCTTCCGCAGGCTTCAGTGCAAACAAATTCATCTGGCGCATAATTATGGGAAAGATTGGATCTTGGAGGATGCTGAGGTCTTTTATTTCCCCGGTCAGATCGTATCACCATGCTCTGCACCCTGCAAGCTGTGGCACCTGAAAGCTTTCCGGGAACTTGACCAAGCAGATCCCTTTCTGGCAAGCCTGTACATTACAGTCTCTATCCTCTTTGTTTCGCTTGGCCTTTTGGCCTGTGTTGTCAACCCTGCACCTTTCCTTTCAGCTTTCAGCTAGCAGTGTTTTATTAATCTATTTCGTAGCCCATGGCTGGAAGGTTCTGTTTTATTCCCCATTTTAATTTTCACGGTGCATAAAATACTCACCAGCCTGACAAGGAAGAGTTATGGCCACTGAGGTGCACTTTTATGATGACTCTTAAAAAACGTCAAAATCCAAACTTACTAAATACTGGCTCTGGGAACACTTTAAATTCCAACTTGATGTCACCAGCCCCAAATCTTCACTAACCCAAAGACATTGGTGCATTTGAGAGCATCCAAGAGAATGACTTTTTTATGTTCGTGCTGTTTTTTCCTCAATGTCCATGCTTTGTATAGCGTTTCTGTAAAATCCACGCCTTTCGTGGTCTTGGCTAGCATACTTAGATGCGAAACACACCGTGCGTTTCCCCAGCAAAAGATGTCAAGGTATACTGGGAATGTCATAAAAAAGAGGCCAGGTTAAAAAGAAGGAAGGAGGTGTCTCAGGTTTTCAGGACTGCTTTCCCCAAAATGCCATTATCTTGGGGATCGGTAGGTCTTGAGAGGGAATGAAATACTATAGGAGTGACCTTTTTTTTGCAGCCACGTTGGTGCTGGGGAGTTCTGCAGACAGCCCCAGCAGTAATTCCCTTTCAGGAAGCTGATCAGAAATGAGTACCCTGCTCGACTGACCTTCCATCAACGTGTGGTGGATGCTCCAGTAGACGCTCAAGCAGTGCTTCTCCTTTTTCATGCCTCGCTTGCACTTGCAGCCATACAGCTGGCTGGAGAGGAGGGCCGTCACGGTGCTCCGGCACTGGTTCTTGGCGTCGGGGCCCAGCTTGTTGGCTCCATTGCCTGCGATGCATTGCCGGAGGGTCCTGAATTTGGCGCTGCAGATGGGGTCGTTGGTACAGGACTCACCTGCTTGAAGGCAGTCCCTGCTCGAGCTGACAGCTTCCGCCATACCTTCTGCAAGAAAACCGAAGAAGTGGTGTGAGGGTGATGGAGCAACCTCAGGTGGGAAATGAATTGTGTCTACCATGAGCAGGGCCAGGCTGGGATGCCCATCTTCACATGCAGAGATGGAAATCCCTCTCATCACCGTCTACTCTACAAGCAATGACCCTGCTTCTGAAATCTTTAAGTGGGCAGATCCCTGCCCAGTAGGTCAACTGGAGGGTTTAAATGGCCAGGCTTGCCACTCTTACTCATGGATTGCCCACATGATGGGGAGCGCTGGCTGCTCGAGTGTACTGCAGCACTGCTCAGCAGCATCGCAGAGGAACAGGAGTGAGTGAAAGGAAGCTGGAGGGATGTTAAGGAGACAAGACACAACCTGAGATTCAACACCTCAACTCAACCTTCTCTCTCATATCGCTGGGCCACCTGCAACAGTGTGATGCATGTGGTGTCCAGAAGGAGAGGTCACTAGAGGTTCTTCCTGATTTGGGAGAGTGACTCTGGACAGGGTCAGCCTGGAAGCAGGATTACATGTGGCAGAAACTCAGCCAGCTCCTGATGCTTGCTCTTTCCTGTTTGGAGCAAAAAAACCTTTCCAAACCCTTTGCTCTCCCAGCAGTCCATCTCATTTCTATCTTCCAAAGTTAACAGCAGCCCAATGTTATGGACACCCCAGCCTCTCCTCCTTGCACACCATTTAACTCTGCCCACACCTCCCTGAAGCTATGAATGGCTCTGTGTGTGGTGTTTTGCCATGGAGTAAGCCCTCATGTACCCCAGGAGTTGTCCCTTATTCACTGTCATCACATCCCCAGGACTCACACCGTTTTGTCTCGGTTTTTTCCAAGCTTCTGTAAATTCTCCTCAGTTACTTGTAAAAATATCAAAAATGCTCTTGTTCCCCATCCTGAAAGGGTAGAGGATAGCATGGGAGGAAGATATTAATGCTGTGAGTACACCAATAAATTAAACATCGTCAGTGGGGCTCTGTGGTCCTGTACCGCCGTGGCCTGGAGCAGACCATTTCCATGCTATTAAGTGTTTGTCCTCTCTAAAGCAAGCTGGCTGCATCCAGAGTGACTCCTGGGGATGTCCCTTACTCCAAGGCTCACGGCTGCATGGCTGCACCCTGACAATGGCAGGGTCAGAGGTTCAGCCATGCCCAGCGGGGCATGGTGGCACTCAGGTGATGGAGAGGAGATGGGGGTCAGGTCAAGGCTATTTGTACTCCTTGCAGTTGGTGTGATGCTCTGAAGCGTGTTGACATAGGTCAGTCATGACTGCACCATGGCTTGGGGGAGTGATGGAGGGGGGAACCTCATTTATGGAAGAGGAGAATCAGTCCCTGTGCATATAATGTAATTTCAGACCCTCCTGTACTATAAAAAAAGAAACTGTTGTCATGACCTTGAAGGACAACTTCTCAAATACTTCCCAAAGGAACTTCTTGTCACTAACATAACTTGTCTTCCCTTTGGATAGGAACCAGAAGGGTAAGGACATCTTGCCCTTCACATGGTAGATAAGGTGGAGGCACCTTCTGGTTTTTGAGCCCCTCTAGATTCTGCTCCTGGTGAGACCCAGTGTGGACAATATTAGAAAATCCTCTCTCCTGAGAAAAATATGGGGCCCTGATTTCCATCTCTGAGAGCTTTATTAGATCTCCTCTCTCTCCAGAAGTCTATTGATCTCTCCGTAAAGTCCCTTTTTCCTCCTTCCACCTGCTACCTCTCCTGCCCTGAGTTTCTGCACCTGCCTCTGCTGCCCTCCCAATTCAGCACTTGAGCCTGGAATATCCATTGCTTCTCCCTCAGCAGTCACAGGGTGTTTGCAAAGAAGGAGCTGCTTCTGTTACTCTTGATTGGAGTAGAAGGTAGCAGCTGGAGTTCAGATATTTCAATTATGTTTATTACAAACTTTGGGTGAACCCACCAGGAGGTTTCCTCCTGAAATAGCCCAATGGCACCTCAAATGCAAAACATTTCTTCAAACTCCAGACTATTTCAAAGTGCCTCATGGCCAATGTCAAGCTTTCAGTTATTTCAAATCTCACAAAACCTCAAATTTGAGTTCTCCTACCCCTGATTTATTCATAGACCTGGTTTATTTAGCACTCAAGGCTTGTTTGGATCTGCCAAATGTGGTGAGAGAAATTATTTCCAACACGTAGGAAACTCTGCCTTGGGCTGTCATATCTCGAAGAACTCCGAACACAAGGAGCCGCTTTCCTTGAAATATCATTTGGTCTGCAATTTCACTGAGATCCATAAAATGAGCCGGAGCTGCTCATTGTCTGCTTTCAGACACCACTGCATTTTCCATGCACAGCAGAATCTATAGGAGGAAAAAAAAAAAAATGCTTGACTTATTTTGCCCTGGCTTTCTCCAAAGGATCTTCTCTGGACGAGGATAAAGCATGGCAGGTTTTATTCTAGAAGAGATGACTTTGTCAGTGTCATGTCAGCTGCTGGAAAAGTAGGTTAAAATAGAAATTATGACCCCCCTCGCCCCTTTCCGCTACATGAATTGCAGAAGATACTCCCCAGGATGGTTATAAACACAGCCAGCCTGTAAAAGCTGTAAAACACTTTGGGATCCCGCTTTAAATAAATCAAGCAGATCGACCATTTGAGAAATTTTCCCTCAAAATTTTAAGTAAATATATCCTCAAGCTCAGACTTGCTTCATAGAACAAAGGCCAGGGGTGAATATTTACAGCTCAAGCCCAAAGCATAAAACACCCCCCATTCAGACTTTATGACAGAGGTGCTTGAAACAACTTGAAGTGGAGCGTCACGAATGACCTGTTCCATAATCATGTCGCTTAAAAACCAAATCATTCAGGAGCTTTTATTGTTAGCGATGTCTTTGCAACTAAGACAACATAATACCACGTTTTCCTCTTCAAACTACCCCTGAGAGAGTAATTTTATGCAACATTAAGACGGTGCCTCTTAGGGGGACAAAAAAAAAAAAATCTCTGTGAATTATAAAATAGACAGTGCTTCCTAACAGGCAGGGACAAAAGCAAAAATGGGTCTTGTCTCCCAAAGACAGAGTGGCCTTTCTGGTTTTGCCTTAAAAAACAGCAGCTCGGTGACTCTCCACCACGGGATTTTCCTCTACGTCTGCCCCTGACTGACCAGGGACCTCGGGATATGCACCGGGTTGTGCATGGCTTGGGCTTTCTGTGCCTCTGCTTTTCTAATAGCAGCCCTTCCAGCTCCCTCTGCTCTCTTTAAAAGGCCATTTGTCTGGATTTTTATTCCTCGCTTGCTGCTAATTTCACGCTGTTTATGTTGGGCAGATGGAGTAATGAGTTTATTTTCACATCCTGTTTGTAGCTATGCTCCACATCTGTTTCTACTCTTGCTTACCTCCGCGACACTTACATAAAGTTACTCCTAATGTGCAGGAGTAAGAGAAAAATCTGGCTCTTCCCATTGCTTTAACAGACCCTTGGTTCTTCATACACAGGTATCTCAAAGTGCATTTCGTTGAACAAGGAGGTCTGACTCTCCGAGGAGGAGGAGACCATTTCCTTCACCAGGGAGATGTAGCTGTGCCTGGGGTATGGAAATGTGAAGGTGATCCCATGTGGTCTGGAAACGGTGAACAAAATGCTTGGAGAGCACCAACATGGGGTCCTGCCGCTCTGCCTTTCTGATCCAACCAACACTTGGGCTTCAGAGGTTTTAGAAGGAATCAGACCATTTCTCATGGTGCTGCTCAGCCTGGGGCTTTGGGATACGTCCCCCTCCCCTCCAGTTTTTGTAGGTATTAGGTGTGAATCCTTTTACACCTCTGATTCACGCACAGTCCTAGGGAGTGATGAACACCATTTTCCATGACAAGCTGTTCCCTCCAAAACGTTTGGTGTTTGCTTTTACAATATTTGCTGCTAAGAAGAGAAAAAACACCCTGAATCTCCCACAAAGCAACAGGAGTGGTTTATTTACCTTTTTAGGTTAATTGGACATCTTTTACATAATTCTTCCTAAATCAGGCCTGCCAACTCTTGCACAATGAATGCAAGGATGATGCAGAAGGCTCCTGCCTCTCACTCCCCTCATGTTCAGGCTGGATCTCCTGTGCTCATGCGTCCTCCAGGCTGTGGGATCCCTTCTGTTCTGCCACCTCATGTGCCTGCTGTGCTTCAGAGGTCTTCTGCTGACCAGACTTATCACGTGCCACAACATGTCATGGTGTCTGAAAGGCCTTGCTTTGCCTGCAAAGGTGGATGGCTCTCTTCCAACCAGGACACGGGTCGTGTAAACTGCTGGGAGAGGACGCGGCAAAGTGTACTTGCATCCTGTGCTAACGTGACAGACACCTGCAGAACTGAGGTCTAAACCTGAGGTGGGCACCAACCCACCCCTCTGTGTTCAGCCGGGAGAGATGGCCATCGTTGGGCAATCCTGATAGGCTGGGTCAAATTAAATCTGCAGGGCAGATGTTCGTGCTTGCTAATAGGCAACTGCCTGATATCCAGAAACTTCCAACTTACCCAGAGCTGTCAGAAATAAGTTGTTACACACAGTGGTCCTGGAGTGAAAAATGATGGGAAAGGGAGTCTGGAAGAAATATCCCTAGTATTTCCCAAATATTCATAAACCAATAGTGATGCATGAATGGGGCCAGGTGGCTAATGCAGGTGGTCACTGCTAAACCTTGTTTAGACTATGTTTTCACATCATGATTTTACAGTCAAGCGCTCAGGATCACCTAAGGAACAAGCCCTTGTATACAGCTCAAACTTCATTTACTCTTGAATGAACCCAGTCAACACCTCTGCCATACCAATGGTCCTTCCCTCAAGACCTTGAGAACAGCCCTCCCAGAAGACCCCACACACCTTGCCCAGAACTCATAGCTGTCATCTGGATTTGGAGGTGCCCAGCAATCCCCTTTGGGATGCTGTTCTCCAGGCAAGGGAAAGTTTCCTTCCCTTCCCTCTGTCTTGCCCTGCGCTTAGGGCATGCTCAGTGCTCCACCACCATGAACACTTTGAGGGCTGGCTCACTCTTTTGCTGGATTAGGTCGGAGCAGCTCATGCAAGGAGGATGACACCATTCGCTGCTACCATCAGCCCTCTGTGGACTTAGGTGGTTTTACAAACATAACACACACATAATGAAATCCCACAGTGCAAACTGACCTTCTTTTGCTAGTAGTTCTTCCCAGTCAGCATTGGGGTGGTGGAATTTGCTGATAATATCTCAGAAATGTAAGGTCTGAGGATGTCAAAGCAATACTGGAAAGTTCAGGCCACCAACATGCTGCGTGTACTTGAGCAGGCGTTGAAAATGCGCTGCCCGCCTCTTTGTAGCTACAGCCTGTCTCCCCTTACTTTCAGGTGATAAGCAGTCTTTTGTCTGTATTCGCTTGGTGCCTTCAAGTAGGACTTTACAGGCACAGGGGAATTAAAAATAAATACAATAACATTCACTAAGTGTTTCCTTCTCCTCTAATAGCTGATCCATGTAGAAGATAATTTACTCATTGTATGGAATCAAAACCAGAAGAAACCACATTCCTCTGATCTGTCCTGCTTATCACAGACTGACACATGACATCCAGATACCTTCAGAGAAATCTGAAAATTTGAGATGTCCTGTAAGTCAAGACCCCTGCTGTGGCAGGAATTTTATTAAGGAAGCCATCCCACCTATCCTTTGGTATGGTGGATCTGTGCAAGTCAGATGATGCACAAACCTTTTTAGTGGGCTATTCTCTGCCCTGTGAGGACTTACAATGCAAAGTGAGAGTGAAATGTGATGTCCAGAAGTGTCAAATGAAAGCCAAAGGGGCTCAGTGAGCCAAGTTTTAGACATCTGCTGAGATGAACTCAACAATCCCCAATTTGTCTTTGACAACCCTTCTCATCTGTAGCTCTCTTAGCCATTTGCCAAGGAGGCAAGTGTCACTGTCTTTGATGACGCCTGAAAAGATAAAGCAATTTAT